AATAATAATAATAATAATAATAATAATAATAATAATAATAATAATAATAATAATAATAATCGTTACTACTGGGTGCTGGTTGAATATGGCAATTACTATTATTGCCAATCACGATTAGAAATAATTATCCTGAAAGCAGGGAGGGTTCAGCTGCCACGGTGTTTTGAATAATCACTTCAAAATGAACAGCAAAATATTAGGTTCACATACAGGGATGACTGCAAACTTTCAGTTGCAGCAGTTTTTAAAGGAGATCTTGAGCTGTTTTACTTGTGAAGCTTCACTTTCTCATCTCTTACAGGTCCAGTGATGTGCTGTTCACCTACCACCCTGCACAGTGGCCCTCCCACAGTGGTCCTCTTGTCCCCTCCACCAAGTTCCCTGAACACACTGGACGCCAAACACCTTTTCAAGGCAGTGGTGCCCAGTGCTTTGGTCCCTCCATTTTCAACAGATGAAGCAAAGAGATTACAAAGGATAGCACGGTTCCAGACTGAAACTCCACTTGCTATATTTATGTTGTGGAACTTTATGCAGGCCCTCTCATTTCAGCTGTTTGAAATGATGTGTCACTAGGAGGAGGTCACAGGTGACTGGCAAGTTCAACCTACTTAGCTCAATTATCCTAGTTTCATTTCCAAGTTGTGTTCAATTTGATCTTCCTGCTTGCCTCCAAATTATCTTAGAGGAAAAAAAAATCAAATGAAAGCAGACAATTTAAGCCAAATCCTGTACACCATTATTTATATGCAAAATCATTTTTGTGATATATACTCCCCTTAATGACTATGGGATGCCAGATCTTTCCAAGCAAATTTACAAACCTAGCCATCAAATTATTTCAAAGGCAGGCCTATTAGGGACAAAGATAATTATGAACTTTCAGAAGCTTTGTAAAAAGATAAGTTTCTGAGTGTTGTCTCTTTAAATTTTTCTTAAGTTTGTTTTTAATTTAAGCCTGGAGGCATAGTAGAGAGATATGCAGAATCTAATAAGGAGTTTGGAAAATAATGTGCTGTAATCCAGTGCTGAGCTATTTCTCCATAAAATATGGATAAGGAATCAATTCATAAGCGCAAATATCTACTAGGACTGAGTTTTAGCAAACATTTCACATGATCATTCTTATATGCATTATTAAGGAGATAACAAAAGTGCTTCAAATCAAGCCCTATATAGTCACATCTGGAAATGCTCTTTTCTGTCTAATTTTCATTTTTTCCCCTCAAAAAATGTTAGAAGAAAAACTAGTCTGTCCCCTTGTATATTAATTGTTACCATCAGCTTTTAATCAGCAACATGTATAGTTAAATTTACAGAATTCATTCCATGTTGCCCCTTTAGAGAACAGTGAAATGAAGATAGTGTCTTTATTCATTTATAGAATCTGATGTTTAAAGCAAACCCACACACATATAGCATATACATTGCTTTATGCATATAGACAGGCATGTAGGCACATAGACACAACACATGGAAACAAGTTATGACCATGTGTTGGAAAAAATACTAAAATGTATCTGTGCATTTCACCAGATCCTGAGCCATACGTCATCAGAGAAGAAGCGATCTAGGGAAAACTAGTTAAAATCGGACACAGCTAATTTCTGAAGGCATTGGAACTACAATAAGTTTTGCTGCACAATGCATAAGCACTGTCTGTTTTCAAAGCTCTTCAGGTTTTTTAGTCAAATAAAGCATTACCATGAAGGTAAGAAGAGTTAATAAACTTCCCAGAAGTTGAAAGGAGTTGATACAAGTTTGGGTTTGTTTTTTTGCTGATATATAATGTAAAGGAATTAAATTCTGAGGACAAAGATAAAAGTTTCTAGGACCTATTACTACTACTTTTATTTTTTAAAATAAATATTACATTTTTCCTTTTAATGAAAGGCAAGAAAAGTATTTTCCAAACAGAAGTAGCAAAAACTATTTAGAAGAAAATTCATAAGCAATGTTTTTTTAAAATACTCTGGAGTTTTCTGAACAACTCTGATGTTGTTATCTGTGATAACATTCTTATCACAGCTATTTTCTTTTTACTATTTTAAGTGGGTATTCAAGGTAAATTGATGCTTTATGTATATCCTGTCTCAATTTGTAACACGCTATTCTCTGTAAGGACATTATTTGAAAAAAAATACAAAGAAAAAGTGATAGCACTGGCAACAATTTACTTAAATTCACAAACCTTGAAATTGATGCATCTCCTATCAATCATAGTCGGAAGCCTCAGTAAAACACGTCCAATATTTGTATATCAAAACTGCGACTAAAAAACCCCGTTTTGTTCAATTTAGATGTCCTTCAACATGTTGTCATTTCATATACTGAAATTACTAGGGGATTTTTACTATGGGTTGGCTTTCTTCTGTCAAACATATGCAAGACAGTAACCTTGCAAAATTAAAGTGCATGCCATTATACTGCACAGATGTTTGTTCTCACTCAGTTACTGACAATGAAATACTTATTAAATAATAATAAGGTGATATTGACTTCTCTATTCTGTCGATATGAAGATCTGTTGATCTGTGAGGTTAATACTGATGAGGCAGAGTGAGGTAAACATTTCATCAGGAGGGCAAATAAATCCCAATACTGGTATAAAAAATAAAACCCCCAACTTTGTATATAAAGAGAAGCTAATCCTTTTTGTATTTATTTGGTATATGAGCACCAGTTCAACCTATTAGCATGCACAAGCTAATGCTGAAGTAAGTCCTTGATATTACTTTCAGGAAACATATTCCAAAAATGTCTATCATAGGTATTTAAAACTAAGCTCAAATGATGCCAAGCTCTTAGGGTCTTTAGTCATGCTGCATGTTCTGCTGCGAATGGCACATTTCCTTTAAGTATTGCTATAAGGCTTTACGTACAACCTCAATATTCTTCACATTAAGGGATTTCTATTTGAGCCAGAGAAATCAGAGACATGCTTTTTTTTTTCTAATAAGATGAGCTCTCTGTCAAAATATTATTTTTATTTGTTGCTTCATCAAAACATTACTGAAAGTTCCCTCTCTTTACCCTCTGCCACAAAACACAACATTGTACACATTTTGAACAATACAAGAGCCATTTAACTTGATGGGTCTGGCAGAAGAAGCTACTTTCTTATTCATTATTATCTTTAGATTTTCCTTCATTTTGTGTAAGGGAAGCTCTTTTTAGAAGAATATTCCATCAGTCAAGTAGGTCTCATACTCTGATAGCATTATTTCAGCATGTTATTTTTAATGTATGGTACTTAAATGTGTATAAGGAATCCATTTAACTTGCTTCTAGGCTTTTGAATAGGAATTAAAGAGATGTGACCTAATATGTGAGATAATAAGAGGTCATATATTTTTTTACATCAGTGCCAAAAGATGCACTTGTCAGTTTCCCCCATTTGATTATTAATTAAGGCCTCAATCCTGCAATTAGATTTGCAGGAGCAAAACATAGGCATGAAGCAACTCTGCCTGTCTCTTTACCAGAGGAGACAACTCTGCCTTGTCAACAGTGTGACTGTTGACAAGGGAAGAGCTCAGTCACACAGTGCTTACTGTAAGGTATCATTGTAAAATTCAGAACATTACTTCATCTGCCCTTGCCAGAGACTACAGCCTGATTTCTGGGGCAGAAGAGCCATTTTCACAGCCTCCTCGCTCTCACCTGTCTGTAGCAGAACTGCTGTGCCTCAGCAGAGAAAGTTGGGCAAACACTTGGCACTTTCTCTGCATTATGGTGACATCTTGTTGGTAGGACAGTGCAGGAAAAATCACATTATTGCTATTCGTACTGCTCCTGTTCTGAAGGTGTGAGGCTGGCCATCTGCTGCTCCTTCCAGGTATCACGTAAGGGTCTAATACATTTTATTTTGTTGTTGGTAAAATGTGATGACTTTTGTCTGAGAAAGGTAACAAAAACATTTCTTTTTTGACCTCATGCTTGCTTGTTCTTCTTCCCAGAGTGTTCTGAGAAGAACATTATTCCTGGGTTTTTTTGCACCTCAGGCCATGATGCCGTTTGAAGACTCCGGTCTCTGCAAATTCTTGCGTTCACCGAAATCTCTGTTAAAGGCAGCGGGGTTTTGTGTGCTTGTGTTCTGCCATGCTGTCTGCTTTTGGTTATTTTTTAGATATTTTTATCCTTCTATATCTTGAGAATCTTTTTCCTACAATGGTCTGAAGTATTTCCCAATTTCTGTGTAATGGTAGTCAGATGGCGGAGCATCTGGGAGCTGTGCTTTGGTTCATGGGTACCTTGTTTCCTACCATGTGGTTGGATGGTCTTAAAAAAAATTCTTTTTAACCCACATGTCAAGTAATTCTGGTAACAAAGTCACCAGAATAAGAAACTTTTCAAGCTTTAACTCACACTGAAATTTTCTGAAAGTTTACTAACATTAAAAAAAAAATTAGGCAATTTAGAGGCACAGATTTTGGTAATATCAGGACTCTGGGGCACAGTTCCACATGTACAGATATAACAACTAGATTACAGTCACATGCCCCAGAATACCTTTATATGTATTTGTCTGAAACGACTTAGTTTAGCAGATCTTGGGTACACAAAAGGATCCAGCAAATGAGTTGAATACTTTTAGTGATAACAATATTTGAGAAATATTATTGTATGATGATATTTCAGTGCATGCCTTTGCAAGTGCGAGGTGTATTCTCTGTTAAGTTCTCCTTAATATTCTGAGCTCATTCTCCACTGCTGTATCAAGGCTGTACCCATGTTTCTTATGTGGTAATAAGGATACTGAAGGAACAACTGTTCTGCTAGTGAATTAAACTGGATAAGAGAAAAAAATGTGTAATGACTGGGGCTTCCAGCTCTAGTCATATGCTTTGCAACACAGATTGCAAGAGAAGAAATAGACAGCAAATTCTGTGAAATGAGCACAGTAATTCCCATGCTGTAAAAACTCTCCTGCTTAAGAACACTAGCAATGACAAGGTTACAAGAAAGAGGGTAATAAAAATATCAGAGGAAACCAAATAGAGATAGGTTTCTTTGCAAATAGATAAACCACTTTCTAATATGGTGGCCTTATATATAAGTACATTTGTCTTCCAGACCCTCTGCTGTTGATTAGAATTCTGATGCCACTGGAGGGGTTACAGTTTTGTTGAGTTTCTGGATCTCAATTGCACTGTCAGGGGGTCATTCTTTCTGGTAATAAGGTAGCTAGTAACCCCTGGGAGAAAAGGAAAACAATTGACTCTTGAAAGCAGAAACATATACTGAAGTCTAGAGTAGATTTCTGGCAGTGGACCAGGTCTTTTCTCATAGCATTTGTCATTGTAGCAATGAAAAAATTGTGGGAGTTTTACAGGCGGCCAGAAAAGGAAAACAGAGCACAACAACAACAAAAAACAAGAGCTAGATGTAATTTATTTTGGAATTACATTTCAGAGCAGGTTGCTTTTTGTTTGTCACACTGTTGGTTCACTCGTTAAAGATGTGGATCCCATTAGATAGAAATATGTTGCTTATTTTAAAGTAAATGATTATCAAATGACGACACTTCAAAACATTTTTTGCTTTAATTTGAAGTCATTTGAGTTTGAGACATATGCCTTTGCTAAATGTAGAATATTTTGTTGCCAAAACCAAACAACTTCATTTTGTGTTCCCTGCTTGCAACCATTGTTGATCCTGGATGTCATTGACAATATGAATCTTAGCAATAAGTCTTTACAGAGGTCAGTAGTAAAGTTTTCCTTATTGCTACTAAGCTTTTTTATTAGTAGTATTCTGTCGAGTCAAATGGTCTCACCATATAATCATTCTCAACTGGAACAAATGCACTATTGCATTTGATTGGCACTGGAAGTATCATTCCTCTTTGTACAACTGGATAAAACTCACTTCTAAAAAAATAATTTAAGCTGAGACCTGCATGTAAGGTTTTTCCACATCTTTCTGAAAATTGGCTTCACTGTTTTGCAGATGATATTACCAGGCTGTTTTTCTTTGTTGTAGTATAAGCATACATAAACTGTGCATACATGTATGTAGTACACGTACCCCCACACAAGCACATGACTCGCACATATGATTTATATTATACTTGTAAGATTTTAAAGTGGATTTCAAATTGATGACAAGCCCCAGCATTGCAGCTGATATACATGCATTCATCCCATCGTTTAACTGAAGTACCTAAGGTGGCACTGTAGCAGCTTGAGACTTCCTTTGTTTTCACTGGAGAAAGGCAGGCACACCCATAAACACTGCATTGAAGGTACTCGCTTTTCTTCACTGGCTGTAGAGTAAGACTAGAGCAAATCTACTTCTAATTAAGAATAAATGACTGAAAGGGACTGCAAGGAATCCTTGCTGAAACATGCAAAATACCATATCTTCTGCTGTCATCTGTATGGGCTGAAAAAGATCTTTCAATTTAGAATCTAATCCACCTCATAAAAATAATCATATGTGAAGTCTTACATGGAAGAAAACTGAACAAAACTTGGGATAGATATTTTTTAATTTTAGTTGTTTAAAAGTCAGACATCTAGTCATCTTCTCTTACTCCATAGTCCACTCATTTAACTCATTTGTCTCAGAATTAGATTAAATAAGATGAGGAGGAGGATCCTGAGGCACATGTACAGTAGGTGATATACAATGGTAGGGGTGCATTAATTACAGAACAAATTTAGATGTCTAAATTAGAAGAAGTGACCTTTGGATTAGGATTTTAGCTGCTTAGGATACCTTTTAGACAGATAAAGCAAAGTAAAATGAAATGAAATTTTTCTAAGGGATTTGTGTGACAACATGCAGAGAAGGAAGTATTCGCAGATTAAGAGTAGAAACA